CGCCCGTTAAGAGAGTCCGACAAACGGCGACTGTCCCACAACCACAAAAACTTGTCAAGAAGCATAGGAATGATCTAACACCGAAGCTGAGGCGACTGACCACCGATGCTGCCCATTCGGAGCAGAAGAAAAACAAAACGACGACTGCCCAACAGCCAGGAAAAGTTGTCAAGAAGTCCAAGGATGATCTAAAATCTGATTAGAGGCGACTGACCACCGATGCTGCCCATTCGGAGCAGAAGAAAAACAAAACGATTGTAGATGAAAAGGAACCAAAAGCTATCGTACCGCATGCTAAAAGAGTTTGACCAACGGCGACTGTCCCACAACCAGAAAAAGTTGTCAAGAAGCTTAAGAATGATCTAACACCGAAACAGAGGCGACTGACCACAGAAGCTGCCCATTCGGAGCAAAAGAAAAACAAAGCGATTGTAGATAAAAAGGAACAAAAAGTTAGCGTACCGCCCGTTAAGAGAGTCCGACAAACGACGACTGTCCCACAACCATTAAAAGTTGTCAAGAAGCTTAAGAATGATCTAACACCGAAGCAGAGGCGACTGACCACCGATGCTGCCCATTCGGAGCAGATAAAAACAAAACGATTGTATATAAAAAGGAACAAAAAGTTACCGTACCGCCCGTTAAGGGAGTCCGACAAACGACGACTGTCCCACAGCCAGGAAAAGTTGTCAAGAAGTCCAAGGATGATCTAAAACCGAAGCAGAGGTGACTGACCACCGATGCTGCCCATTCGGAGCAGAAGAAAAACAAAACGATTGTAGATGAAAGGGAACAAGTAACCGTACCGCCCGTTAAGAGAGTCCGACAAACGACGACTGTCCCACAACCAGGAAAAGTTGTCAAGAAGTCCATGGATGATCTAAAACCGGAGCAGAGGCGACTGACCACCGATGCTGCCTATTCGGAGCAGAAAAAAAACAAAACGATTGTAGATGACAAGAAAAAAGGAACAAAAAGTTAGCGTACCGCCCGTTGAGAGAGTCCGACAAACGGCGACTGTCCCACAGCCAGGAAAAGTTGTCAAGAAGTCCAAGGATTATCTAAAACCTAAGCAAAGGCAAAAATTGCTAAATTCACCAATTTAAGTGAGTTTCTTACAATATTCTCGATTCAGACAGGTATTAAAAAGGTGTTTGTGAGTTTGAAATTAAAAAATTGACTTAACATTGAATTAAAAAGTCCATATTTGTGACGAATATTTGTCTTTGAATAGACTTACAAAGTGTTTGGTCTCCGCCGGAAGCATTAAACTGCATAGTTATTGTAGGGTATTCAATTCTTAATCTAATTTATGTTATTTTTTATTGCGCTTTTAGCGTTTTCGTAGATATTTGAGTTTTCGTAACATAACCTTAAGTTTGGATTTTCGGAGATGTTTGCAATGTTAAACTCAGTGAAGCAGAAAATTGCAGAAGAAGATGCCGATTCGCATTGCATTTAAGTGGTAATACCTGTCACCAGCTTTGAAAACGATAAGTCTCATTTGTAGACCCTTTGAAACACTTTTTTTCACAGTTTGTCGATTTAATTGAACAATTTCACGGAAAACTTGAAACAAATCGAAAAAAACTGTGCAGATTGGCTAAATTCGTGCTCAATCGATCAATTATAATAACGTTGAGACATTTCCAGTATATCTGCACTGACGTGCAGTGCTATTGTGTCCAACATTAAAAAACTCAACAACTCTACTTTTCCACTTTTACAAATCCGGGTAAAAATGTTGTAGTATAATATGCCATTGATTTACATTATCAAATCATTTTTTGTTTGATTCAAATTAAAAATAAAATAAAAATTCGATTTTACCCTGAAGAAGAGGTGGAGCCACACCCATTTTTCCAACCAACCTTCCTTTCACTATTATAAACTCATTTCAAAAAACTAAATCAGAAAATATTGCTTCATTTGGAAGTTAATAATTAATGCCACAAAAAGTGGTCAAATGCCACGTAGTGCAGTGTGAGCAGAAATCCTTCAACAAGAAGGACGGACGGATGGACACACAGACAGACAAATATAGACCCGGCTATTGATGCTGTTCAAGAATATATATACTTTATGGAGTCGGGAACGTTTCCTTCTGTGCGTTACACAAATCCACTGCTTGGATATCGCACAAAATGATTTCAAAATTTCGAACTCGACCTCTTCCGACCGCACAAATGACACCTGTACATATTCATGTACATACATTTCTATGTACATAAGTACATACGAATGTAAATATGTGGCACCCACACTGCCTTTCGCCGCCTCTTCCGCCACGAAAGGAAGAAAATCTGTGGCAACCACAAATTTAAAGATGGCCATATCTATCAGAGTGGTAAATCTGGAGAAGATCGGATTAATGTTAATGAATGAAGAAATTAATGTTCGGTGGATCAGCACTCACCCCCTTCAGCGTGGCATCTAACTCTTCCACATTCCTCGCACCTTGCCTTGCACTATGGTCCCAATGACCACTTTTCTTGGCCATAAGCTAATTTTTAAAAGTTAAAACCAAGACGTGGTTTTTGGCGCTCTGTATTAGGGTAGTAGGGTTTTTACTACGTGTTTTGTAATGTGAACGGCATCTAGTAGTTGGCGATGTCTTCGTAATTGTATGTTAAAGTGAGGCCTTCAATATGTATCAGTTCGTAGTAAAGACTCATTTTTGAAACAGTTTTTTTAATATAGTGCCACCTAGTCCCACAGTATTAGTCACTAGCTATTTTGGAGGGCTAGAGTTTGATGTCCAGTGTAATATTGTTTTATAATGAGAACTCCTAAGGAGAATGCTTTGTGGGACAAAACATTCGATTATCTTGGATTTTTAAGCTGTTTTAATTCGTGCTACGACTTTTTTTTATGGAATCTTCCACTGCTAAACATATTCCCATCCTTATTTTGCTTCTAACATTTAGAGAAAAAAAAATTTTTTTCCTTAAAAAACATGCCCCTTGCTATTCTTAACTAATATCAAAAAACTAAATCAAAATATCTTTTTTCGTTCACGAGTTCTTAATTTAGGACAACAAAAGTGGTCATTGGGACCACAGTGCCTTGTGCCGTGTGCGCCATCTGGCGGAGGAGTGCGCGAACTGACTGCGTACGGGGTAGACAAGTAGTGACACGTCTTAAAGCGTCTAATAGCGTTTCTCATAATTAAAGCTGAAAGCAAGGCAAAAATCTGAGGGAACCACTGGTTATGGTGTGGTCTGATTTTGTCCGTGCAACAAATTCTACTCTGCATACGTGATGAGGATGAGCTATCCTTCGGCATTCCCCGCCTCTCCTGGAGGGCAACTAGTGCTTAATCCAATTACATAATTAGTGCAACTATGCGGCCAATAAAGTCGAGAGTCCGTGCTCATCCGTGTTCGTGTCTGTGCCCGTACCCGGATGACTGCTAACAAGTGCAATTGGTGGCTGAATCCATGGAAATCAGATTTTTGTTACGATTCTTGTTTGTCAAACATATGATTTGATTTGGCCAAAAGCGCGTCAGAGTTGGGGAAATATGGCCAAAATATGGCGCTATAATAATTTTCAATGCAAAATTTACACATGCATAATTAATTAGTATCAAAAATTTAATACTCACACTTTGTATCTGCTTAAATATTTACACTTCGTGCCAAATTTGTATGCAAATCGCTTTGCTACAGACTGACAATAACGGGAATATTCACACACACAAATACGTAGAGAGAGAGAAAGAGACAGGCAAGCGTACACACACTAGCACCCACACAGCCGCACGCGAAATGTCAGACAATTAAAAAAGCATACACCACAGGGAACTTGTCTAGAGCCGAGACCAGAAGCCTTTGGCCTCCTGTTCGTGACGGTTCTGTGCCGATGGCCACTGCTGTGGCCCCCGTCAGTATGTTGTGCAAACAGAATCGAAACGGGTTGCCTGCCGTTGGCGTTCCTATCACTGCGTCCCTGGCTCCCCCGTCGCTCTAGCCTAAGGCCAAAGGTATGGGTGGGTGTTGGTCGGTGGGATGCTCGGTCGGTCGGTTGGTCGGTCGGCTACTGCTGGCGTTGATTGTTGTTTTTGAAAACCCTTTTGGTGTTTGCATTTAACGAACAGCGCCACAACGACACAGCAACAGAAACAACAATAGAGCCAATAAAACAGGACACACGGATGAAGTGGGAATGGGATGGCTGGGATGGATGTGGAATGGAATGGGAGCATGAAAGCATGGGTGGGGATATGGCAAAAGTAAAGGATAGACGCTGATGGGTCTGGGTAGGCACGGAGGCTAATAAAAGGCTCGTTACAATGAAAACAAATCAAATCGCAGGCCAAGCCATCATCCGTCAGACCAAAAGCAAATCCAGCCTAACGAATCCTACCGACAAACAGGAAGTAGTTTGAATTTCCGGTGTCATTCGGATCTGTCTATGCCGAGGCATAACACGAACTTCAATCACCCACCAGATGCACACACCCGCACGTCCACATCCTCTCTCTTACTCTTTTCCGATTCAACGCTGAACACACGACCGCGACTATTGCGCCTAAATTTCTAAATTGATTACCGCCGGAGAACGGTTGGGGCCGTGCTGGGGCTGGGGCTGGGGCTGGGACTGGCGCTGTTGCTGGCACTGGTCCGGGGTCAACTCGGCATCACTTTGAAATGCCATTAAAATGTATTTACAAACGCAAATTGATAGTGATTTTGGTTTGGTCGGTACCAGCTACGGGCATGGCCATGTCGATGGCGCTGGCAGGCGTTGGGTCCCATGGCCGGCTTGTGGTTCAGAGTAGTCTGCTTGAGCTTTGGATTGGTTTGACTTTGGTCGTGTTGACGTTTCGGCTTAGCCGTCGGTTTGTCAGCACGCATCGCGAGTAAACCACTCGTACGGTTCCAGGTTTCAGGTTTCACGTTGCATGTTCCATAGTTGAGGTCCCAAGTACTGGTCCACCTGCTGCTCCTTCTGTGAGTGTGTGTGTGTGCTTGGGCTTCACATAAACCAATACAGGCTCATGAGGAGGAGCATCGTTGGATGAGGATGCCCGCCTGTCCTTTTGCGGCTTTTGCAGCGATTGTTTCATCCTCTTGGTCCAGCGTGTTGATGGGGTGCTCCCGGATGTGGGGTTGGTTGCCCTGTGGAATATAAAGAGTAGGTTTTGCCACTTAGCACGTCGACATTCTGGCGATTAGCCATACGCACTGTGTTGTGGAATGGGAGGGATATGTGTGTTCATTTGGGTACAGGATTGGGATACCCGACGGGGCTAATGTTAAGCAGGTGATGGAGATAAAGTGGGGACAGACAGGTAGCCTGTCTATGGTTTTTGGGCCTTCTGGGGTCGTCCACATACCACATGGACACACGAACTGGTTCAGACAACAAACGACAAGCGACGACGACAACTTTAACTGCAATTATTTTCAAATGAAGTTCATTTGGAAATGCAATTTCAGACATGTGTCTAATATATGCAAACAATTTTCTTTGCTTCGAAGGGCAAAAAGGGCCTGTCTGCAGCCTGAGAACCACTGTGTCCTAGTACAATGGCAACAACAATGATAAATCAATATGCAAAAGAAGGGGACCGTTCCAAGAGCCAACTTGGTAAACAAGAAGCGTGACAAAATGATAAAGTGTCGACTACACCATGGGCGATGGAGATGGCACCCGACTTGGAGAGTGTTTTGTGTGTGAGTGTGTTTGACGTTCAGTGACAGAGGAGGCGCAGGCAGCAGTGAGGGCAAGGCAGAGACTGGGCTGTTAAGAGTCTACCATAGCAAAGTGAGCAATAAACATACGCGATTAAATTCATTATGAACACTTGAACAACACACAATACGAATGCGAAATGACAGACCTGGTCGCATGGCATCTGTGTGTGTGTTTGCCTCTGGGTTGGCCGACACACACACGTATATATGTACACGTACATACACACGGGGGTCGAGTCGGAGTCAGCCCCACATCAATTTAACATTGTTTTGCCGCCTTCCATCGTCTAGCGTTTGCTCTTGGCTCTGGCCACCCACATTGTGGCCCTGTTCGTGACTAGTGTACTTGAGGGGCTAAGGTCTAAGGACTAAGGACTACGGCTGTGGCTGGGCATCGCACTTGTTATTCTTTGGTTTTTCTAATTGTATATGTAAGTGATTGGAGTGTGCGTGTGCGATTACTAATTGCATTGCTGATATTAAATCAACATGCTTCCGCACTGATTTCTCACTGACATCCAGATGAGAGTCGTCGTTCTACTCCCCTAACACATTTCTTAACTGCCAGGAACTGTTGCATTTGTCACGCTCCAGCTGGGACTCCGAGAGTCGCCCTTGTATTACCTCCGATTGGAGCAGTGGATCGGGGGATAATGTTAAAACATTTTAAAGACAATTTATTTATATTTAAAAAGTCATCAAATATCATTTTATTCAGCAGCAAAAAATGTCATTATTCGAAAGCTTAGTTTGAAAGAAACCAAAATATGACCCCAAATGGTATTCGAGTTTGGCTTTACGAAATTGTAAAACTCTGCGTTTCGGGTAGAACTGTAACTGTGTGGTATTTTTTGTGTGAATATCAGAAATATTGAGTGTCTGCATATTTTGCAAGTTAGTAAACATACAAAATATTCTCTAGTCCTTTTTATACCCGGTACTCGAAGAGTAAATAGGGTATATTGTATTTGTGTGAATAACGGTTGTATGTAACGCACAGAAGGAAACGTTTCCGACCCCATAAAGTATCTATATTCTTGATCAGCATCAATACCCGAGTCAATAGAGCCATGTCTGTCTGTCCGTCTGTCCGTCCGTCCGTCTTGTTTGCCGGCTAGTTCTCAGAGAGCTAGAGCCACCAAATTTTGGCTCCGGACTGCTGTATGCTCACACTGAAACCAGTGTATTTCAAAATTTATTTAGCCCCGCCCCTTTCCGCCTCCGCAAAAGAGCGAAAACCTCCCAAACCTACAGTTTTGAAGATAAGAGAAAACTAAAAACGCCATTCTGTAGTGATACAGATACCATATTTATCAGATCATCAAATTGGGATCCGATTGGATCATTATTATAGCCAGAATGAAGAAATTAATTTGCAGTGGCTAAACCCACCTCTCATTCACACTCTGCTTCTGCTTCACTCGGCCCCTGCCTCTGCCGTCCCTCTGCCGTCCCTCTGCCTTTGCCTATGCCGACTTTTAACCCACCCCGTCCCGCAGCTTATATTTGTTTTTTTTTGTGTGCGGGCGCTGCCTCTGTCTCTGCCGCGAGTGTGCAGTGTGTGGGTTTATGGAAGGGCGGCGAGATAAAGGAGCGTATTGGTGTGAGTAGTGTTGTTGATGTAGATGATAGATGAAGAAAAAATGTAGAATTTGGCAAATAACCGCTAAGGTGCAGATGTAGTACTGAGTGCCGGGTATAAAAGTTGTGACGCGTAAGAAGCGTCTCACACGTCCCTTCTCGTTTTGTTTGAATAATTTCACGGTGGCATCTGATGTACGTTACGCGCCTCACATCGCCAAAAAAGTAAGCAGAGCTTGGGCCATTTTTTTAAAGTTTGTTTTAGGATAGTCCAAAATGTTCGAGTGACATTGGGGTACAACTTTTATGAAGAATTTGTTTCCTTCGTTCCTACCAAAAAATAACAAAAGAAATTGAGTTAAAATCAATTGATTAGGGTTTCACGTCGAAGCTAAGGAAATTGTACGTTTATTGGTTAAATGAAATGTCTTTTACTTAATTTAAATTTATTTCGAAAATTAAATAAGCTTTGATTATCGTTCCACTTCAGCGTCATTTGTGATACAAAAAGCTATGCACTAGAACCTGCATCTGCATTTAGATGATAATTATGAGGAAAGTTCCCCTATCCGGCTGGCTTGGGGCCCACCTGTATTGGCCACTTGGGCCACTTCACTCGAACGCAAGTCTGCGATGCTCGAGGACGTCGATGAGGAGGAGGATACTGTTGCCACCTAATTGGTCTAATCAAAAGTTGGTGAGTGCGCGAAATTAACAATTGCTATTTGTTGCATAATGCTCTAGCTTGAACGGCATGGGGCGAGTGGCATGGTGCAGGTGTGTTTGCACCTGATGCGATAATTGCTGTCACAAACAGTGCAGCTGTGTGTATGCGCCTGCAGCGAAACCATAAACCGTCGTCCCACGATCCAGACACACACAGATGAGCATAGAGTGCACCACATTTTGCAATTGGCCACCTCCTGCCTCCACCTCACACGGACACGGACACCATCCACGTCCAGTATGTCCGCGGGAACCTGACAGGCCGAGCGCGCTGGTTTTAGTCAATTTTGGTTTGTCGCTTGCAGGTTTCAAGCTGGCTGGTTGCCTGGCTTGTATGTTGCAGGTTCACGGATACACCGCGATGAGAAGCAAACGGTGATTACTTAGTAGCTGACGTCACTCCACTGCCTGTTGAATGCAAAGAACAACCCAAATGGCCAGAATGCAATGCAACGTGGAACATGAAATCTAATAAACATTTATTGACACATGAATCAGCAGCAAAAGCAGCTGGCTTAGGAGTAGTTGCAGGTTGACGGCTACCTCATATCGAGTGCTGCTGTTTGTCTTTATCCAATCACGAAAGTAGTAAACGTTTGAGTAGACGCCGGCCGAATTGGGTTCGCCGCAGCCGGCGCCGAATGAGACGACGCCAACAACAATGTTATCGCACATGAGGGGGCCACCGGAGTCACCCTGGCAGCTGTCCACCTCGTGATCGGCGGCGTCCGAGGCACAAATCATGCCCTTGCCAAAGCCCTCCAGTGAGTCGCAGAAGGCATTGTCATTGACGGACACATCACCATTGACGGCCTCGTCGGGCGTGGGACCAAACTGCGAGAGGAAAAACAAACAAATGAAAGAGAGGGGGACAAGTGAGGCAAGTGGGGCATGTCCTGCCTGTATTACTGTGCCCCAGCCAACGACGGTGCACTTCAAGCCGGGCTGTGGCGTGGCGGTGGATAGAGGAATTATTTGCACAAAGTGCCCGTTGGGATTGAGGGGTTTCTTGAGCAGCAGCAGGCCAATGTCGTTCTTGAGTCGCTTTGGTGTGTACTTGGGATGAGGCTTCGCCGCATGGACATCTCTCACCTGCGTTTGCCCTGTGCGCTGCAGCCGTCGCGGTGTACCGGCCACAACCTGCATCCTGCTGGCCTTTATCCGCGTGGTGCTGCAAGACACCAAGACACCAAAAGCATGAGACACGAGGATAGACGACAAACAGAGCGGGGAGGAAAATCAGGTACCCGGTACACACCCCGAGTAGAGGCAATGAGCAGCTGTCAATATAACCGTCGAGGATACGACTGCTCCGCCGCAAAAGTGATTATCGCCAAAGAACTTGCGCTCCCTGTTGGTCCGCACCGACACCACATACTTGACCAGATTATTCGTCTCTGGCCGATATCCGCCAGTGATTAGAAAGTGAAACTCGGACGTGTTCCCATAGTCGGGATTCGTAACCAACATTTTCTGCATTTTCGCATCGGGCAGACCAGTAGCAGCCGTCGTTGCGGACTCTCGTTTGCCAAGATCATCACTCCCAATGGATGATGGTGGCCAGTGGGATGCCATGCCCATCACGGCCATCACGACGCAAACAACAAATTTAGACGGTCTCATTGTACATACATAAATAAGTGCGAGTATATGTTGTTTGTTAGTAATAACTGACTGAAAACGCCCTACTGTATCCCCCCCAACTGATCCCAGGGTGTCTGTCGTCTTGATCTGGATAGGCATGAGAAATGTTTGCCCGTAAATACTCTCTCTATATGTGGAGTGTGTGTGTGCGTGTGTAGAGCAACAGGAAGCATTACTTAGTTGGGTCTACTGCGCTCTGCAGGTTAGACAAATTCCTGGGTGCACTTTGTCAAGTCAAAGACGGCATTCGCACACCTCCCCCGTCTGCCAACCAACCAACTGGCGACATGGGTTGCAGCTCCTCTTGTCAAGTTCCACTCCTGCCCTTGCCCATGCCCACACCACTCACAAGGCAATTCTGGAGTAAGTAGTTGGTTGGTTGGTTGTTTCATGTCACTTACGAGTAAGTCGTTGCCTTTTGCCTTCGCCTTCGGCTGGGTGTCTGCCGAGTTGTAGGTGTTGGTCGGGGGCCGTTATCATTAATTTGCAGCCTGCTGCTTTTTTACAATATTTTACCAGATATACCCCATGACGATGACAGGCCACTCCCAGTCTACGACCAGTGCTTTTACCTCGCACAAGTTTTTAAGTTGACTTGTCATTTTGTACGCTTACTAAAGACAAATTTGTGCCGTGCGAACACAAAAAATGGTGTCCATATTTTACCAAGCGACTACCCACACCCACTACCCACATTCATATTCATATGCAGTGACACAGATTCAGAGTCAGAGACAAATTCAAACTAGAACTGAGACTGTGAGACTGTGAGACTGAGACTCCCTCCCAGTAATCATGTGAACCAGAGCCAGTCCTATCTGTGCTGCTGTGGCCACACAACCTTTTAATTGTCCTTCAACAATTAACAACTTTGATCAGCCCCTATGGGTTTTCGCAGAGAAAGACAGACAGAGAGAGAGAGAGAGAGAGAGAGACAGAGAGAGAGAGAGTGAGAGAGGGGGGGAGAGAGAGCCGAAGCGAGCAAATGCCGAAACACAATCGAAATTTATGTGATGTTAGTAGTAAAATCAGTGGAGGAGCAGCTGTAAAGGTTCCCATTGGATTCCCCCAGCATCCCACAGTTATGGCACCTGGCTGGCAACAGATAGCAGACAGTTGACAGTGGACAGTGGACAGTGGGGACAGTGGGGACTGCCATACATATTACTTATCTTTTGATGTAGCACGACGATTCCAAGCATTGATTATTGTTGCCTTCTGCAGTTTTAACTAAAACGCATTCAGGGCCCGAAAATCCAAGTACCAGCCAAAAACCTATTCTGATGTAGAAAGAGGACTGGCTGCTGCTGCTTCCAAAATGCCAGAGATAGAGACAGAGCCAGACACAGAGTCGTACATGCCGCATCTAGCCATAGCTACTGCTGTGACCCCTGTTCCGGCTACGCTTCTGCCTCTCTGTTGTTTGTTTGCATACATTGATTGAATTTGTTCACGCCATTAAATTTGCAAATTGCTATCGGCAATTTTGCATAAACTGCAGTGTAAGATTTTACAGCTTTCAAGTTTCAGTCAATGGTGGATAGACATTGCCCTGCAACCTGCACACTGCACCCTGCACCCCGTACCCTGCCATTGCTAATGTCCCTGCCCCTGTGTGTGCGGTGGTTTCTGGCAAGGACAGGGGCAGCAGGTCCGGCACAGACTCTCATACGAGTCATTAACTATTCATACGGCAAACCAGGCAAAAGCCTGGAAACTCCAGAGTGCTGGCACTAGATGACACATTTGATTCCCTCCCGTCATCGCAACGGCCAAGTGCAAGGCCGAGCCGGTGTGGTAATTGCCATCGACCAGTGTGCTCTCCCCGCTGGGGAACTGGCAGCTGTCATCAGTGCAGGATATGCTCGAAAAGGGATTGGGCTGCTTGGGATCTGTTTGTAAGAACACCGATTCAGCTGACCTTTCTCTGATTCGCATATGGGAGTTGCGTAAGCGCTGAAAAATTAAAATTATCTGTCCCGTTGGGTTGCTGTGGGAAAGTAAAGACTTTCCGCTATGACACGGGGGTTTTGCCTGAAGGTTGCACACAGATTCGCGGATCCCGGCAAGTACGAGTAGCAAGAAAATATTTACAATAAACTTTAAGTCGACCGACTGTATGTTGCTAGCATTCCATTGGCTTTGGGTGCTCCCAGGCGGGCTCGGTGGCTGGGCCACTGGTAATATATTTACATTACTCCCCTTCCACACTCCCCACTCGCAGCATTGCCCCCGTTTATTTCTGTTGCGGGGCTCCTCCACTCAAATTTATGATAAAAGTTGTGCCCACGTACCGTGAAACAAATGTAGGGGTGGATGGTGGATAGGGGAACTCACTTCCACTGCCACTTCCGCCATTTTGTTCGGCAACAATTCTCATTTTGCCACAGCTCAGCCTTGGTGAAGGTCAATGGTAGTTGGGTCAGCGTGGGTCATCGGTTTCCCGATAGCCGATGATGAAATATTCCCCAAGGAAAATGCACGTACATGTGAGGGAAGTGTGTCTGATTCTTCCGTTATAGAGTAGCTTAGCAATTGCTGATTGCAGATAGTGTGAGCAAAGGCAGATCGGATTGTTTTTGGGGGACCATCTCCAAGTACTGCAGCTGCAAATTACTTTTCCGCTCGACGAGAGTTACGAGAGTAATGAGCATCATCCTAATTATCTCTGCCAGTTGTCGTGCTGTCTGCTGTCTGTCCATGCCAATGTCCATTTCTAGAACTATTCGAGTGACCGCATTCGGTGTGGACAACATCCATTGGTGCCACTCCTTTGAAGCTCCAAGCTGCGAGCTTAATTGCATTTCTTTTTTGTTCCTTTTTTTTGTGTTCAGCCACAAGGCAGGTGGAGAAGGATACCCAACAGAATGCACTCTGAAGCATTTTTGCACGGCTGATTGAATTTGGAAATGCTGTCGGCTGCACTGCGCAAGTTGTCCTCTCTGTCCGGGTCCCTGTCCTCACAAATTACATTAGTTGCACCGAGGCCGCGGCGGCTTATCTTATTAAGTACAGTCATAGATATGCCCCCCAGTGCCCACACGATGTCCTGCGTTGAGAACTCCGCCATGTGACTTCCACAGACTTCTGGCTGCTGGATGCTGCTAGCTGTGCCTGTACAGAAGACCATCGACATCCGGAAGAGTGCCTGCCTGCCTTCCTGCCTGCCTGCCGACGATGACGGTGCACAGAAAGTTATGTGTCGGAACGGGAGACATGCATAGAGCAGTCGTCGTAGACGGCACGTTCAATCTGGTATAACTTTTGGCAAACATACACCCACACAGCCAAAAACTCACACACGCACCACTCATCCCGCCTACTCCATGACACCGCTGGATGAGGCGGCGTTGGCGGCGTTGGCGCCGCCACAAAGTGGCTTATTATAATTTCCAAAATAAACTAACTGTGTGCTTTGGGTTCCCCTCTCCCCTCTCCACTCTCCTCTCTCCCACGTCCACGTCCACGTCTGTCTAAAAGTGAAAATAATATTGTAGTTGAAATATCAACATTGACGCCCGCCCATCCATCCAATGTGCTGCGTGTGGCTGTTGCGGCTCTGTGGCTGCTGCTGTTGCTGCTATTTGGCATGGCGCGTGGTGCCTGTTTTTGGGGCATTTTAAAATGGTAAGTGAGAAAGGGTTCAATCCGACTGACTGTCTGTCTGCCACACACAAACACAGGCAACTATCCAGCCAGCCAGCCAGCTAGCCAACCATTCAACATAAGCATATTAGGCATCGCCTCTGCCACTTCGGGAGTGTGGGAGGAGGATGAGGCTGCTGGCACTGTCACTGATGTGGGTGTCAGTGTGGATGTTGGGGTGTTGGGTGAGTGGCGTGGTAGAGGGGACGACACTAAAACGTGACGTTGAATCCAATGTGATGCTCAAGCGTGTGAAAATACCAGAAAGACGTGTTGCTATTAAATGGTCTGAATTCCGGTCGCTGCCATCGCTGAATCGCTTGGCGCGTGTGCTCTTGGCCGCCGAGCGTATTTATGGCCATACTCGTAACTTAACAGACAGCGGAAGTGATACATCAAGGACACACATACACACAGGAGAGAGACAGAGACAGAGACAGAGAGAGAGAGAGAGAGAGAGAGAGAGAGAGAGGGGGAGAGAGTGAGAGTGAGTGTGGTGCAAACATTTCCATGTGTGATTCATCTTTACACACGTTTGAAATTAATCCCTTCCCAGCAATACCTTACCAAAAATTGTATTTAGTTTTTACTTCATGAATACTGGACCAAATCCGTTTGTTGGGCAACGACTTTTGGCCTGACACTGCACTTGACCGCTTTTGCAGGACATGCATTTGACACTCTCCAGAGTGAGTGTGGGAGAGGCGAGGCACTGGCTTGGGCCATGAATTGCGGTCCATCAATGTCAGTGTGCCGGTGCTGGTCCAGACTTTGGCCATGGTCGTAGGCTGACTGACTGGCTGGCTATGGCTCTGTTCCAGCTTATGCTGACTCATCGAATCAGTCGCAACTTTTGCAGCCTCGTTGGGTAAGGGTTTTATGATGCCCTGCTCAATTAAATTTCTCGCTGGTATGGATACAACCCACAAGATACAAACACAAAAAAAACGAGAAGGGACGTGTGAGACGCTTCTTACGTGTCACAACTTTTAAACCCGGTACTCTGTACTACATAAGTACCTTAGCGGTTTTTTGTCAAATTTTACATTCTTTCTTCATCTGTCATCTACATCTACAACACTTCTCACACCAACACGCTCCTTTCGCTCGCCCCCTTTCCTAGAGCTACAAACTGCAGAGCAGGGCAGAGGCAGAGAAACGGCA